GTATCTCAATCTGACAAATTAGAATTATGGCATAGGAGACTAGGTTACCTTTGTGAAAAAAGGCTTGAAATTTCTTTCAAAAGGAGTATTTGGAAAGGACAATGTTTATAAACTGACATTCTGTGAACATTGTATCCTTGGGAAACAAAATAGGCTGTCATTTGGGACAAGTATTTACAAATCACTAAATATACTTAATTACATACATAGTGATCTTTGGGGGGCCTACACCTATATCTATAGCTTCTGGCTATTGATATTATCTTCTTGTCATAGATGATTTCTCAAAGAAAGCTTGGATCCTTCTATTGAAGAATAAATTCGACACTTTTATAACCTTTAAAAATTGGAATATATGAATTGAGAATCAAACTGATAAGAAGATAAAGGCATTGAGAACAGATAATGGTCTTGAATTTTGCAATGTTGAATTTGACTAGTACTATAATAGTCATGGGATACAGAGGCACAGAACTGTGGTCTATACTCCCCAGCAAAATGGAATTGCTAAAATGATGAATAAAACTATCCTTGAAAGAACCAGATGTATGCTAATAAGCTCTGACTTACCAAAGATATTTTGGGGAGAAGCTATTACGACTGCTTGTTATCTTATAAATAGAAGTCCTTCAAGTTCCATGGATTATTGGATACTTGAGAAGATATGAACTGGAACTATGCCTAATTACTCTTACCTTAGAACTTTTGGCTATGTAGCTTATGCACACCAAACTAATTCTAAGCTTGATCCCAAATCTCTGAAATGTGTTTTTCTTGATTATGGGGAATGAGTTAAAGGCTATAAGTTATTGATAAAAGAAATTAGAAGATTCAAAGTTATAACAAGTAGGTCAGTTATTTTTAATAAAGAACACTTTCTTTGTCTTAGTGGTGATAATAGGAAGAAACTGGCTGAGAAGGACTTTGTGTCTACTGAGGTCGATATTAATGTTAAGAATAATGAAAACAAAACTCAGATCAAGGACCACAAACAATAACTGATCAAAATTTGAAAGATGACCAAGTTGTAGATACTACTACTGATTTCCAAGATTACCAACTTGCTAGGGATAGAAAGAGAAGAAAAATACTGCATCCCTCTATGTTTTTGTATGCAGATTATGTGTCTAAACAATTTGATCCTAATACTTTAAATTTTGAACCAACCTCTTATGAAGAGGTTGTATCCTGTAAAGATTCTGCAAGGTGGCTTACAGGAATACAAGAGGAAATTGATTCTTTATATAAGAATCAGACTTGGAATCTTGTAGAAAAATCTATTGACTACAAATTGGTTTACTGTAAATGGGTTTATAAAATTAAGGAAGGTGATATGAAGTCTAGTGATAGAAGATATAAGGCAAGGTTAGTAGCCCAGAGTTCCATACAAGAGAAGGAATAAACTATATTGACATAGATTTACTTATTGTGAATTACATTTCTATCAAAGTTTTATTTGCTTTAGTAACACAATTTGATTTAGAATTAGAACAACTTGATATGAAAACAGCTTTTCTTTTTGGTACATTAGATTAGATATATGACCTAGCCAAAAGGTTTTGAAAACAAGAAAAAACTTAGTGTACCTTTTGAAAAAATCTTTGCATGGTCCAAAACAGTCTTTTAGACAATTGTATAGAAGATTTGACTCTTTTATACAAAGTCTTGGTTTTAAAAAGTCAGATTATGATCCCTGTTTTTACTTTAAATGTGTTGAAAATTCTAAATTTTTCTATTTGCTTCTATATATTGATGATATGCTTCTACCTAGTCATAATAAAGTTATTGTTAATATTCTGAAAGAAAAACTTAAATTTGAATTTGAAATGAAGGATTTAGGACCTGCCAGAAGGATATTTTATAAATGGAAATAAAAGGAGATAGTTTCTAACACAAGAGTTTTACATTGAAAAGTTATTAAATGATTTCCACTTCATGAATCTAAAATTGTCAGTTTGCCTTTATCTGCATGTGTGAAGTTATCTACTAATCATTCACCTAAAACTGAAGATGAGTTTAATAGAATGACAAATGTGCCTTACTCTAATGTAGTAGGTTCTGTTATGTACGATATGGTATGCTCTAGATATGATATTTCTTTTGCTATCAGTGTTTTGAGTAGATTTATGAGTAATCCAGGCGAGCTTCATTGGGAAGCTATGAAACATTTAGGGTGTGTTTGAACCATATTATTTTGGAAGAATGTATTTTGGAATAGTAAATTGATGAAAAATGTGTTGTTGAAAAAGAAGGAAAAGTTGTTGATGTGATGGAAAGTATTATTTTATTGAAGAATGTGTGGTTGAAAATGAGTAAAAGAATGAAAATGAGAGTTTTAATATTGCTCAAACGGGGGCTTAATCAGATATCTAAAGGATACTCAGAAATTAGGACTTACGTTTAAAACTAATAAAAATAGTCTTAATTTGAAAGGATATGTTGATTTTTGGAAATTCTGATAACATAAAGTCTATTTCTGCACATTTTTATGTGATAAATAATACTTGCATTAGTTGGAAATCTCAATTTAAAAAATTATTTGCTTTATCTTATATTGAAAATGAATATACTGTTGTCACTGAGCCTGTAAAAGAAGGTGTTTGGTTGAAAGGTTATTAAATGAATTAGGATTTATAAAAAAAAAACAAGGTGGAGCTTTGTTCAAATAATCAAAGTGCTATTTTCTTGATTAAAAATTCTCTGTTTCATGATAGAACTAAACACATATATATTAAGGTTCATTTCATTAGGGATATAACTGAAAAATGTGATATAAAACTTGTTAAAATACGTAATAAGGTAAATCCAACTGATGTAGGCACGAAGGTAATACCATTGAATAAATTTCAGGATTCTTTAAAATTATTGAATCTTGAAACTATTTTGTCTTGTGTTTTGTAACAAGTTAATAAGAGCAAGCGTTGTGAGATAGAGTTCGAATCCATTATATAAAGTATCAAAATATAGCAAAGATGGAGATTGTGAAGATAGGTTGATACATTTTTGAGGGGCCAGTTACTTCTAGTCCAGTAAGATGTCTTGAGCCCGATTGCCCGGTCCCACCAGGGACGGATTTGGGGGGGGGCTGTAGCCCCCCTCCCCCAAAAAAAAATTTTAGTTTAAAAAAAAAAATTTTTAAAAAAAATTCATGTGTAAATTTTTTTTTTTTTTTTTACGTATTAGCCCGGTCTATGATCCGGTCCTGGATCCGTCCCTGGGTCCCACTTTATGTTTTGATCCAACAAGTAGATGATTCTGGAATTTGGATGAAAGCGTGTATTTTCTTGATATATACACGCCTTCACCAGATGCTTGACACTTGAAATTTACACACCGTTAGATGTATGATATGGGCTTATCTCATAAAAAAAGGGGGCACTTGTGTTTTTAGGGGTTGATACTGGCTTTTCCTCTCTCCTTCGGTCTTTGTGAAAATACTCTCAGTATATTCATAGATTGGTCACTAAGCGAATGTTTTTTTTGAGCGATTACATTGTGAAATTGTTGTATAGAGAGATTAGTTTAGCAATACATATTTTTTGTGAGTGATTGCAGATATAAGAGGTTTATTCAAGAAAAGGTTTCATTTGAATCCCTTATTGCAGATTTTGTACTGAAGTTGTTCTTGCCTGGTTTTGGGGTTTTATTGTAGATTCGAGCAATATCCTTAGGGATGCATAACGGGGGATCAGACGTCAGAAGTGGTCGCTGAACCACTGGGACCTTTGGCCGAAAAATCCATGTTCTTGTTGCTTTTAAGTATTTTTCTTTTACGGTTTTTCACAAAACAAACTCAAACTAAGCTTCGATCTGTTTATTTGGGACCAACATCATCATGAATATCACTTTTAGAAAGAGTGAATTAAAGCTTTTTTTCAAGAACAATAGCATTCAAGTTCACAGGAATTTGACACAGGATATGATCCGGTACAAAAAGTTACATTGATCCCTCGAGGACAAGCATGAGGTCTGACATGGTACATACCTGGTGAAGATCCAACATTGATCTCTAAGCAACAACTCTTTGCAAGTCATAGGCAGGGCAGTGGAGGAAGTTATATTCAATGATGCAGAAATCACAACAGTTGCAGCAGGAGACTTTGCAATAAATTACTCAAATAGCTAGACAGGTGAATTTAGTGAAAATTTGCTTTGTACCATAAAATAACATGGCTCAGATGCAAATTATTAAGGATTTTCTGTTTACTTCATCAGATGGTAATAACATATTGAATGTCTGAGATTGGCCTGTGGGGGTGTTGATTGATCGAGGCGTGAAGAGTAGTGATGTGTTGTTACGAATGTTAGATGGAAATCAAATGTCGGAGAAACTTGCAGACGACATCGAAAACTCAGTGAGAGTTATTATAGATAACGAGTATGAAATTGCAAAAAGAACATAAGGAACAACAGAGAGGCCGTTGATAAATTAATGGAGGTGCAGTTGAAGAGGGAAACACTTTCAGGAGAGGAGTTCAGGGCTATTCTCTCTGAGTTTACTGATATTCGTTCAGAGAATAATTTCAGACAAAAAAGTAATTCAGGAATTAAATAAGTTGAAAAAGTGCCTCTACACGACTCTTTCCTCCAGAAGGTGCTGGCTGAAGAATTATAATCCTGCCACAGCAAGTATCTACAGCACAAAAGTTGGACTACAATTTTACATATTGAAAGGACAGAATTTTTAAAACTTTACACAAGTGCAAGACATTTAACTATTCATTTTAGCTGGTTTGAGTTTGTGAATAAGGCTGAGAAATGGAAATATTCAAGGTTTGCAGAATCTCAAGATATAATTTTCCTCTGATTCAATTCATTTATAATAGTTGGCGAGTAATTTGCACACGATACATTTACACGGGTAGTTTTACATTTTAGTTCAATATCAGTGACAGAAGAAGGCTTGCTATAGAAGGGAAACAAGTAGAATAAAAAGAAAAGCACACGGGAATTGATGAAATCCGGTTACCGGATTATAGCTACTGATACTGATATTAGAGTTAAGATTTTAAGAAACCATCAACCCTTGCATTTGTTTTCCTTGACAGAAATTTCATGCAAATGGGTGGATTTACTCCTACCAAGGCCAATATTGAACTAGGCAATGTCCATATCCCGTCACCACAGATCAATCCAGAAGCCACAGCCGGTCCAAATGCATCAGCCTTTGCTTTGTCAATCTTCTCCCAAATAAACAATATCAAACTTCCAATACACATGTCGATTGTAAAATATGCTCCAAGATAAAATGGTATCGCCATTGCCATGGGAAGAGGAATGAACCTAGCCCATTTCTTTCCAACAATATCTCTTATGCCATTAATAACAACAGCTCCAACAAAGAACACGTAGCATAGAGTAAGGCAGTTCTTTGGCAAAGAAGAGAACCCCTCAACTCCCAAGATTGCCATGTTACGGTATACAAGAGCATAAGGTGCAGAATATTGCGAACCAGGGACGCCCAAATCATGAAACGCCTTGTAGAAGAGCCAAAATACACAAGGTGAAATAACACATCCCATTGCTGTTCCAATAATCTGGCTCACAAACATGGACCGAGGGGAAGCCAGGGTCATATAACCCGTCTTGAAGTCCTGAGTTAGGTCAGATGCAGTAGAGACTATATTCATCATGACCCCACATGCAGCTAGTCCTGCAAGAACACCGCCATGGGAGGCTCCAGCCCATGCACCAATTACAAAGATAGCCAACTTTCCATAAGTAGATGCTAATGACCAGTCGGTGAGCCCACACCCATATGCATTACAGAAGGCTAGTGTGGGTGCAAAGATATATATGACGACAATGTAATACCACTTGAGTGGGGGGAATATGTGTGGAAGTGTTGCAGCAGAGATTATTGCAATGGTGATGTAGCCAACAATGGCAACCCATATAGGGATTTGGTCTTTGAGAAAAAGTTGGGTCCGGCGCTGGTCATCATAAGACAAAGAATCCGTAGGAGATGAGGTACGGCTGCCAACTGGGAGGACCGAGCGAGAATTTCTATCACGGATTTGGTTATACAGTCCAAATATGGTGTGACCAAGGACCTTAAAGAAGTTGTAGAGACCATCACCGAGGATCATGGCTATTGATATGAAAACCTATAAGAACAAATGAATGGATGGTTATACTTTCAAAACTTGTAATTGGTGCATTAAAAGTAAGATATTAAGGAAATGTACCCTGTAGCCTTGCAAACTATGAAGGCTGGTAGAAGGATATACTGCAGAATACCAATCACCCTTCCTGTCTCCTATGAGTGGCCACATTATACCCCAAGAGAGGATTGCTCCGACTAGCAAAGATATGTTGATCAGATATGGGCATATCATGCCAACTCCAACGTATGTTGCTGAGAAGTCGAAGTAAAACCTGGTTTTTGAATTAGCAAAAGAATGAAATGGGTTAATAAGGACAATGAAAGGTTGAATTCTTCATTTCAAAATCTTCTCTTTTCTAATATACAAGAACTTGCAGATAGACAGTTTAACATTTTATATCCGCTAGAGAAATTTTATCACAACTCACCTGTTCTCGAAGGCTTTAAGACCTAATGTAGGAAAGTTTACAAATCCACAGCCATCTCCTCCAGTAAAAAACCACTGAAAGAAGCCCCACAGGAAGCTGAAAGAGAAGAATTTTCCTAGAGTTCTGACTTGTTTCCTGAAGTGAAGCAACAATAAGAAGAAGAATAAGATTCCAAATTGGTCCAAAGTCTACTATGTCCGAAATTTCTATGCAAATCAAGATCGAAAGATGGAAGTTTAAATAAGAATTATGGAGACTCACTTTGCTAGTTTGGCTCCTTGGGGAGTGTGGAAGCTGTTGATTAGGTGAGCAGTTGCCGTTCCACTTGGATAAGTCAGTTTGAAGTCAATAATCATTATCTAAATCACGTAATAATAAACAAATCAAGATTGTATTATGATATTAAACCATTACATTGCAATGACAAGGAAAAATGTTCAGCTCAAAAGGAAGCAAATTTTGAAACAATTTTATTGTTACTTTTCTCAATTCCAAAACATTTGTACAAGCTAAGATTATGGTTGAAACAGGTCTAATTGATGCATGCAGTTGATGATTTTAGACCGTACATGAGACAGGAATTTTCCTTCTCCCCTTTATCTCATCTGCGGGCTAAACTTCATACTTAAAAGACTTCAAGAATTTTATAGGATGTCTTAGGCATGACAAGGGAACTCGAAGTACAGGAACAAAGCGTTGCTGAGTTTAATAATTTACCTTTCGAAGGGGTACCACGGAGAAGAGCCCGAGAAAGCTAACCACAAAAAGAAAGCCAATCATCCATGCTAGTGATGGGTTCTTAATATTCTGTCCATCATTAGCTTCAGTAGATTGTTTGGCAATAACATCACTCATTCCAAATAGGTAACTTCCAAAGCCTCCTGCTCATTCAAATTCAATCGACCAAAAATTATAAATGAAATTGTTGTTTCTCAAAATTATGATAAGCATGTTATCACTCGACCAAAAACAAGAAAGATAATACAATTTTCCTACTGCATATGATGAATGCACATTTCTTGAGGAATAAGGTATATGCTGAGAATTCAACAATGTATAGCTTAGGAAATAATCAATGTACGTAAGTTGTGGAAAAAGGAACACTGTCATTATGGACTAGGAAAGCCATTCATAGGTGAACTAAGGACACTTTAGATACCTTAAAACTCTAGTTTCTTTTTTGTTATTGTCTTTTTTCAATTTCTTACCTTTTTCTTTGGTGGTCATATTTTTGTAAAGGATTTTTTTGCTTCCTCATTCTTTGAAATGGTATTTGACTATTATATACTTTTAAAAACTACTATAAATCCATAGTACAGGAGTGGAAAACGGGTTGAGCGGCTCGTGGACTCAACCCATTCCGGCTCAATTTATGGATTGCTCGAACTCATTTTGAGATGAGTCATGGGCCGAATCGAGCTCATATTTTTTCCATGAGTTGGTATGATCGAACAAGCTGGCTCACTTGAGCTCTGGGTCAGCTAGTTTTTATTCATTATTTTGGACTTGTTTTGTTAATTTTTTAAAAAAATTGCTCATATTTAGGTTTATTTTTTTAATTTATTTAAAAAAAAAAAAGAGAGTCGGCTCGTGTGTAGCTTGGCTCGTGAAGTCCACGTGCCAAAGGCCAAATCGATCATAAGATTTGAACAAGAGCCGAGCTCGAGCTCGGCTTGTGTATTGGGTCGAACCAACTCGTCTCGATCTATTGTCACTCCTAATAAAACACAAGAAGGTGTATGTTATAATACCGATAAACCTAATTTCTTCTTTTTAATGTTTTTTCTACTCCTTTTGTCCCTAAAAAAGCTCAGTTCGATTGAGATCGTGTCTACACGCCAAGCAGAACTCGTGTATAGAGTCAAAATAGCTCGGTTCGGTCCATTGTTACTCCTAATAGCACACAAGAACGTGTATATTATAATACTGATATCCCTAGTTTCCTCTTTTTAATGTGTTTTCTGCTCCTTTCGTTCCTAAAAAAGCTTGAGTTGCTAAACCTTCCATTAGACCTATGCTCAAGACGTGCTAAATAACCTGATCAACTGTGCCCAGTTAGGGCGTAGGTAGCGACATAGGTGCTAAATCGGGAATCTTTCACCCCAAGAGAAGTGTTATTCACTTCAATGTCTGTATGGTCGGTCAACACAGGCTTTTACAAGCAATAGCTGCAAATATTGCAGTTTTATACTTGCGGAAATTTTTTCTTCCCTATATATTAATTAGATATTGCTGCGTGTAGCTGTCAAAGGATTGCTGAATTTGCTAAGCAATAAATAGTATCCTTTTCAAAGCCAAACCAAGAAATGATTCATTTTTTTATTATTGCTTGTTTCCGACCTTAAATTATAGGTAGATAAGAGTCAGCTTTTCAATCGTTGAAGATATATAATTTAATCAAATTCTTCAAAATTCTAATCAATTGAGAAAGTGCTTATGCAATCATTTCTTTGTAAATAACTTTAAAAAATTCAATATTTAATCTTATTTATTTGCATGACCCACCATAATTGGAGATTCTTATCTGCAGCCTTGACTCTCTCTCTCTCTCTCTCTCTCTAAAAAAAAAAGAGGAATCTTATGCAAGTCATCATCAATAAAATGAGGCCACAACTGTCCGTTATTGTACTAGAATCTCAACCTCATCACATGAGATGTGATCACAACATTTACTTTGTCAAAAGTAACATCACATGTGAATTCAGCGCCAACTTGGGGTCATCAACGTCTTGGGCTTGTATATTCACACCGTAATTCCAAATCCTATCTCTTCACATTTCATACTCACATAGCCGACAATATAGAAAAGAGTTCAAAAAGGTTGGACAGCTAAAAGTGGAGCTTAACCATACACACTACTTGGAGGAATCATGCATGCGGTGCGTTGACAAGTCGTGATAAAATCAGAAACATCCAATTGTCCTATATGAATGTGTATCCCTAGTCCAATGCAGGATATAATGCACGCACTAGTCTATATGGATCTAAAGGGCAGTTTGGAAAGACTTTGAAAAGTCAAAAACTGCATCTAGTTGTTTTTAAACATGTTGGGATAACTTGTTGTAATCGCTTTGTTTGGCCAGTGCAACGTTTAGAGGACGTTGGCGTATGGATCCGTTTAGCAAGGTTTTTAAGAAGTCAAAAACTGATTTTAAAACTAAGATGTTACTTTTGAACACAATTGAATAATTTTTTGAAAATGTTTTGGTCTGACTAGAAGAACTTTTATAATAAAATGATATAAGATAACTTACTCATGAATCTCTTTTCAAGAAGCTAAAGCAAGAACGAAAACTCTATCAAACAGACCCTAAGTTAGCTCCTTCATGGAACTTTTTTACTAGAAGTAGAAGTAGGAATAGAAGGAAAAGCAAAAATGCTACGGACAATTAGTAGAAATGGGAACTGCCACTCTCGAACTAGATGTGCTTACCGATGGCTAGCTTTCATCTTTATTTACCGGATTTTATTTCTTAACCTAAAGAGGAAAAATACTCATTTCAGAATAAGTTGCTGAAATCATTTTATCAAGATGAGTGTTCTATATCAATAAAATATTCATTTGAAAATCATCTCTATGGAATCGAAACAAAGTTTGTTCCCTCTCATCAAGTAGGCATACAAACCACTTCCTCATTACACTCTTGCAGAAGAAATAGAAACAAAAGCAAATATCTTGACAAACCGCCCTAAGCCTCTTGAAAATGAAATTTCCCTAATCCCCAAAAAAAATTATTTAAATATTGAAAGTTTTAATTTTAATATCTAATTATAAGAATAGTGCTGCTACGCATACCTGGTTTCTTACCTTTCAATCTCTTGTATATGTATCATATCTAGTCCTTGAAATATATTGTTAAAACAATTATTAACTTCAACTTGAATTTTAATGAACGTTTTTAGTGGAACCAAACAGAGCTATACATCTCTCGACATTAATAAATACTAGTTTCCTCGCTGTAAACATTTAAGAACATTTTTACCTAGTTGTAATCCTACAAAAAACACGAGAATAAAGCCGTTTTTTACATCATAGTTTATGCCCCGCCACGATGTGTAAAAAATTTGGTCATCAATTTGAACAAGTGTTATTTTAAAAAATGGCCGAACTATCTGTCACATCATGGCATGTCAACTGGTGTAGTGAAACTGCACACACAAATGTCTGTAAAAGCATTTAAGAGAAAGTTAATGCAATAATTGATCCATTAATCATATAATTGACAATTTCATCGAACTTAATTTATTATTTTTACACCAGGTGGTAAAAAAAGTAAAAAATTAGCGTGTTTGTGTGTGACTGTGAGAGATATATACATGGAGGGGAGGAAGGGGAGAAAGACTAACCGCTAAAGGCTATGCCGGAGGTAGCCACCACACATGTCTGGATAACGGTATTTTCTTGGCGAGTAAATGGTTGATTCAAAAGTCCTGACTTCTCGAGAAACTTCGTCCAAGTTTTGACGAAGAAGAATCCCAATAGGCCGGCAGAAACATTGAGAGAAGGGATAATACCAGTGGTGAGATTGAGTTTCATTACGATGAAAGTAAAGAGTATGCCCAAAATAAAGCTGACAAAAAATGCCCTGAAAGTCAGTTGTTTCTTCCATGACGGCACCTCTTTGCTCTCGAATATTTTCTCTATTGATTCAGCGCTCTCTTCTTCTTTCTTATCTGGTTTATCATCCACTTTTTTGTACTGAAAATCTTGTTCGGAATTGCCATTTTCAGAAGGAGCATTCGGATCTCTTCTGTTCCCAGAGTTATCCATGGCTAGGGAGATTGTAGAATTCAATGTGAATGAATTTGGATAGTCTTTTATTAAGTTTTGGAAGTTTCAAGATTGATGTTGAAAATATCGAGCATGCTGTATTTAATAGAGGTTTTAATATTCTGAACAGTGTCCTCTCTCCTTCTGTCGCTGTCTTTCTGGCTGGGGTGGGGTTGATTGTCCTCGGAGTAATAGACGGGCAATCTGGCTTGTAATGTAAATGCTGGTTTTTTCAATGTATTGGATCATATAGGAATGTGGTATTGCGGTATTGGTGGGGCCTTGGGTTAGAGTTGAATTTTAAAAGATATCCACGATTTCATTTGATACTGAATTCAAGATAATCGAATTGAACTGAAACATAAACTAATGATTTTCTTGATAATGGAACCACCTGATTTTTTTAAAGATATGGGATCGGTTCTACTTTGGTTCTAATTTCATTACTGATTGAGAAAACAAAAAGAAAAAAAAATATTTGAGGACGAAGAATCGAAAGTTGAGCGCAACGGTAGACAGCGGGGGTAGCTATTGATCCCCATTTGAGAATCGGTGTATAAATAAAAAATGAGAGAAAATGAGAAACGAATTAGGGTCTGGTCTACAAAATGAGAGTGTGTTTGGTAGGGATTTTTTGGGGAAGAATTGATTTTTGAATAGTGATATGATGGGAAATGTGTGGTTGAAAAAGAAGAAAAGAGTATTGATGTGATGGAAAATATTATTTTATTGAAGAATGTGTGGTTGAAAATGAGAATTGATTTACTGTAGAAAATGAAAATCTATACCAAACAGGCCCTCAATGAGAGCCTTCAGTCTCCACATTGAGAAATAAAAAATCGAAGATACATAACCTTTTTGTATTGATTTTCAATTGGATTTTGAATTTTTTTTATGCGAATTGTGATTCACTAATTTGTAAATATATATAAAATAATAAAATTTAAATATTAAGTTTGGTTCTTGATTCTAAAACTAGAACCGAATTAAAATCAGTACGATTAATTTTTTTTTTTGTAGAATCGAACCGAACTACTCGATTTGGTTTAGTTTTGGTTTGATCTAGTTTGATTTGATCATTTTGTCCACCTCTAGATCCCATTATGTCTACCCTAAAGCACGCAAAAGGGTGGCAATGGAAGCGGTTTGTCTATAGAATCACGTAAGTCAAACTCAGTGTAATATATCAAACAAATTGTAAAAGAAAGAGGGGGTACTACACTGCATTAATGGTTTGGGACCATGATTTGTGAATATTTTCAAGAGCTTTATAATTTTTGCCCATGTTTGGTTTATATAAAAATTAGTTTTTTAGTGAATTCTGATGAAAGATAATCGAACGCATCATTAAAAAATTATGAATTCTATAAAATATGTGATTAAATTAATGTTGAATTTGATTTCAATTTGAATCGAATTTCATTATTGAATCAAATAGGGGCATACATGAAAAAATGCTACTTATCAACAGTGCTACAACAAATAAAAAAAGCACCCTAATTTTATAGAAGATTGTGATACTTATCTCATTGTCACAAAGATGATGTTTGTAAGTCGTGCTTAGACATAGCATTATTCTTTTTTTTTTTTTTTTTATGTTAATTTGAATTTCACGGTCCTCTCAAAGTTCTCCGTTCACAAGAATAAGTACATTTGACTCTTAAATTTTTTTGATTCATATGGTTTTGATTACATCACGGATATTGATTTGAAGATAAATCATAAATTTTTACGTATCTCTTTTTAAATATTTCATTTATCAATTTAATATTAAATTTTATTTGGCAAAAGGAATTGAAGTCCAGGATGCACTCCCGCTGGTCAAACTCGCTTGCGTTGACAACTTGACATTGTAGGCCTTTAGTAATAGTTTGCGCAAATATAGGCTACTTTGCTTCATACTATCTTATAGTTCCAATTTGTTGTGCTAAGTTTTGAATTGACATTTTTTTTCATAATGTTTAGCGACAATTCCGGCGTTATCGTGATATGTGGTACATTTATGTGTGTCCAAAGCATAAACACGTTAGTACATGTTTGTGTGTAAATTAACACCGATCTTGTACTATTGTTATTTAATTAGGGATGATAATGAATTAAATCGAACCAGTTTAAGCCTTTGACTCGTATGCTTCATGGGTCGAATTTCGTTGGCTTAAAAAATTAATAAAATAAGCCAAAAACAATTTGACTCGTGGTTTTGTTAAAAAAAAAAAAAATTGAGTCAGGACAAGTCAAGCCACGAGCTGACGAATGAATCGATCCATTTGTTATCCCTATCTTCACTCTAATGATATGGTTATAGTGTCATCGCCAATCTATTTTTATTGAAGCATGGCATCTATGCTATTTGTTTTAGTGTGATGTTAGTGTTACACAATTCATCCCATATAATTGACTAACAAAGTCTTTGTTTTAAAGTCAAATATAATGATAGGGGGAAAATGGAAAAAGAATTTTGTTTCCTTGTCACGAGGAGGTTGCCGAGAAGCCACCATGGCCAAAACATTGTCTTGTACAATATATCAAACTGTTGGAAGTCTAAAGAAATCGTCACCAAAACAAGAACCACAAGAGTATCACGAACAACGTAAGTGGACCGCCACGGATCATTGACGAAACAATGGACATGAACAGTTGCTTCCTTTGACTGTCTTCCTTCCACCTATTTTGAGTAATTTCCAATCACCAATGAGGTTGATGATGGAAAATTTTTCTTCGTTAGCTGATTACTTTTCCACCATGTAATCGACAACACCCAAAAATATGCAATGAAACGGAATGGCAGAAACATGCATTATTTTTTCATCAATTACTTCTTCTTGTTGATTTTTTTATGATTGAATTGCTCTCGAATTCACGATATTGCCGAATGCATCATTTCCACTATGATAGATAAGATTCACATCCACTCTCAAGTCATCGGTCTCGAGTCGAGCGAGTTGGATTCTGATATAAAGTAACATGATATATTACTCATATAAAATCTTGATTTTTTAACACACACAGACGCGCGTGTACGCACAACACGTTGTCCGTGCAAAACAATAATTTTTTAATAAAAAGTAACATATGATAACACAAATATATTATGTGTCAAAATGTTGCTTTCAAATGAAAAATTGAAATATTAATTTAAATGAAAAGGATGAACTATTAATTTTAAATGAAAACCATGCATTTTTTTTTAAGAAAAATATGAAATGTGGTAATTGTAAATGATAAAAATATAGTAATTTTCAACTTTTTTTATAAAATGTAGCTTTTTTATATGGTCATCGTTAATTTTGTCCAACTTTTTTTATATGGTGAAACTGATATGTAACCAATACTAGTGTGACCTTTGGATAAGTCGGCAACTTCAATAGTTTTGAGTGAACCCAATTTTATTGAGTTGATATTTTGTGACAAATAGAAATGGGATTTGCTATGGTGACACCCCGGTATACAAGCCCCCCCACCCCCCCACCCCCGGGTAAGGGGTGTAACCTAACATACGGACAGAAATGTACAATAAAATTGGAATGTGACCAAGATTATAATAGTTTCTCTCTACATATTAACTTCTCGCCCGTTTAGCAAGATTTCACTATAAACAGAATTATTTTTTTTACACCTACCGCAAAATTGAAGAGTAGCGAAGGTTCCAGTCCAGACAAAAAATATCGTCGAATTTCACGAGATTGATTGGTTTCCAGATTGAATACAATTACAATCAAACAATACCCGTTGAAGAATTGATACTGCTACACTGTTCCTAAGATGATTAATGGTGGTGTTTTTTTCTGAATTGTAACTTGCCCCTGTCAATGCCATCGATTATGTTGGAATTAGTAAAAAAACGTGGTTTCATAAAGAAAATAATTAAAGAAGATTTGCCCTTTTTTTTT